CTGCAATAGGATTTGTTTCCGCTTGAAAGGCTATTTGTGCTTTTTTATTTTAATTTGTTTTACACAAAGTAACCCGAATTGTCGTGCAATGTTTATCCATTAAATGACCTGTTTGATTGTCTTCAGTGTGTTTTGCTTTCTCCTTAGAGAATGGCAGTACATATTACAAAAAGAAAGCTCTGGTTCCACGTGTGATCTCCTAAATCCTGCCCTGCAGCTCCTGGAATACATTTTCCTCCATCCTTTGCAAATCCTTTTTGCGTTAGCTCCCTGACTTCTTGTGATGTCACATCAGCTTGATATGATGAAAACTATTAACAAATTGACAATAAAGAATCAACTTTAAACATGTTTTAACTTAACTTGTGTATATATGTTAAGATGTGCCATGATGAAATGCTATTTTTGCATAAACACACTGTATTAAGACAGTTTCAATTGCTACTATTTGTTATTGCATTGTAATAAAAAAGATGTTCAGATGTTTATGATGCAGAAATGATAGATTGTGACATCTTTTTATTGCAAACTGAGAAGTTCACTAGAATCTTAGCAGTACAAAGATTAAAGAAAAAACTGTGTAAACGTATTTGGGTGTATGGATAATCTCTCCATAGTGTACAATCTATAGAAAATGCTGTTTATTGAATAAATAGGAAATGTTTTTTTTCCCAGCCACAGTGGCACACTAGGGCATGACCACTGAACAAAAACCAAGAACCAGTCAACGTACTGCATATCTGATGAAGCTAGCCAATCCTTGGTTTCATGAGTCCAGGGCCGGTGACCTGCACTGACCTAAGTAACCATTTAGGTGCTTGCTTATCAACCACCAAGTGTCATTTTTGAAAGATGCCTTTAAAATATTAGTCAATCCTTTATTGTTAGTTAGAGTAGAACTAAAGACAAAACTTTTTTTTTAATTTAGGATAGAGGAAGGGAGGGTTATAACCCCTGCAGAGTTGCGCACACACTGCATTCTTTGCTCCTGCCTTTTCAGTTTGTGGTAGTTTCTTCCCAGCTACTTTTTGGAAGGAGCGCAGGTTATTCACCTTGGATAGTCCTTGCTGCCACTTACAGTGACATAGTATATCTCTGTTCATTGAACCTCTCCTGCTCTCAGCAGCTGGTTTGTGAGTACTCACGTTTTTATCTTGGTGTATTTAAATTAAGTTGCCTAAGACTAGCAGAGCAACAATTTGGATCCCAAGTGCAAGGATAGCAATTCCAATTTTATTTGGGTTCCTTCAGCTCATGACCCTCAGTTCAGGGTGGCCTGCAGTGTCCCCTCACAAGGACCTGACACCAACAGCCTGGATTGTTGTCCCCTACTTGATTCCATACACACCTTGGAATCTTCCTTAGTTAGACCAGGTATGGCCCCTTCTCTCTCTACCTTATGATATGATTTCTGACTCAAAACACAAGGTCTGTAAGCATACTTATATTCTTTCTCCAGAATCGTTATCCAATATTCCTGAGCCTTTTGCGGCAGATGCACTGTCTGATGAAGAACCTTGTAAATCTGTTTTGGATGAGTTTGTTCCTGAAGAGTCACAGTAGCTCTTAAGAAAAAAGATACCATATTTGTTCTTATTAACACAAGGCATACCACAACACCTGAAGCCAGGGGCGGACTGACCATTTGGAAACTCGGGCACTGCCCGAGGGCCCGGGGTCAGTAGGGGGCCCCATGAGATGCCCCTGGTACCTTTTTCATAGGCTTTTTTGAGTGTGGGCAAGGACACAGGGGCCCCATGATTCCCTATTGCCCGGGGGCCCCATGAGTTGTCAGTCCGCCCCTGCCTGAAGCTAGAACTAGTGCTGTTACTAGCCAGTAACCAGTACACTCCTTACTTGAATCTATTCTGTATGGAAACTGGACAATTCCTAAAAAGTTATCCACTCCTCCAAAATGTTTTACTCATCAATATCCATTTGATCTGGCTTTCATTAAGAAGTTGGTCATCTCTACGATGGACCCAGCTATATCCTGCCTTAATAAAACACTGATCATACCAATTGAGGACATTCCAGTCTTTAAGGATCCCATTGATAAGCATCTGGAAGCCATTTCTAAATCTGTTTTTTCACTGGAAGACCCATCAGTGCAGTCTGACATAGCCATAATCACCATTTGTCAAACCTTAAGGTAGTGGACTAAGCTTATGTCCAATGATCCAGCTTCTGTCCTTACTAACTATTTAGTTGGAGAGTGCAGAGCACTTATGCCTACAGCCCTACATTATTGTGTAGACAGGTTAGTATTTAATATCTCCCAAATGAGCCTCATACTGTATATGTAAATCTACAGAGAACCCTCTCATGGTGAACGTCTCTTTGGAGAATCTTTAGGCAACTTCATAGAAGATGTTACTGGCAGTTAAGAGTTCTAATTTTCCCTAACAAAAGAAGCTTAGGCCTCAATCTGGGAAGACTCCTTATGCCTCTGAAACTAAAACGAGTTTGTTTCATATGTCCCAGGCTTCATATTCCAAGGCAAAATCCAAGCCAGGACAAGTTAACAAAAGCCTAGGCCTTAAAAATTGCTTAAACCTGCAGACAAGTCCTGTTTTGCATGTTTATAAGCATTTGCGCACATCTGGTTAGAACGCATCTCATATGCCTGGTTACGAGACCTGGTGTCCAGGAGCTACAGGCTTGAGTTCAGCTCTCTGCCAAAATTCATGTTGTTGAATATACGTTTTTAACTAAGAAGTCATCACCATTTTTCCCACAGCAAAGTTTCAGGGGTTTTACTCAATTCTTTTCACTGTTCTAAAACCAAAAGAAGGCATTCACCCCTTCTTGTATCTGAAGGCCTGAAATATCTACATTTGATCCTAAAACGTTTTGCATGGAATCCACTAGGTCTGGCATAGCCTTCCTATATGAGTATGACTTGTAATCTCTGTGGATATCAATGATCTGTACCAGGGGCAGACTGACAACTCATGGGGCCACCGGGCAGTAGGGGATCATGGGGCCCCTGTGTCCTTGCCCAAACTCAAAAAAACCTATGAAAAAGGTACCAGGGGCATCTCATTTGGGCCCCCTACTGATCCCGGGCGCTCGTTTCCAAATGGTCAGTCCGCCCCTGATCTGTACTTGCATTGATGCATCTTTTCAGTGCATCAGCATTACCTCCGTTTTGCCATGGTCACACAACACTACCAGTTTATAGTTCTTCCATTTGGATAGTCTTCCTCACACAGTGTGTCCATTATATATTATTAGTACCAGCATTAGCTTTGCTTTGCTCTCATGGCATTCCCAATGTGAGATACCTGAATGTGCTCCTATTGAGGGAACAGTTGGCTCAAACTCAGATAATGTCAAACAGGCCTCATCTTATATCCAGATATTCCAATTCAGGCTAGAGTGTTTATTCTTCAGGATAATCTGCAGAATTCCACATTCCAGCCTTGTCTGGCATTCACATTCCTGGTGTGGACAGCTGGCAGGGAGACTATCTGGATTCCTGGAAATGGTCTCTACACCTGGAAATGTTACAGGACCTAGATCACAGGTGATAGATGTCAGATGTGGACCTCCCGGGCCTCCAAGCTCAACACCAGCAAAAAAGCTTGTTTTCAGAACCAGAGATCCTCTGGTGGAAGCAACAGATACTCTGGTGATTCTGTGGGATCAGTTCAGCCTGATCTATGCTATTCCTCCTCTGAAACCTCTTTATCATCTTTTCTATAGAATCAAGAAAATTCTGTGATCCTCATAGCTCCAAACTGGCTTGGGTGGATGTGGTACTTGGATCTGATCAAACCTTTGGCAGACACCCTGTGGGCTGTTACAGATCAACCAGTTCTTTGACCTCAAGGACTGATTTTCTACTCTGCTGGCTTTAATGACATGGTTCTTGATGCTTAGGTTTTGAGAGACAGGTGTCTTTCTGCTTCAGTAATCCTTATGCTGGTAAAACCCAGGAGGTCTCCCTCCCTTAAGGTCTACCATTGCACATCGAAGGCTTTGTCTGGTGCGAGGTAAGTAGATTTCATCCCAGGAAATACTTTGTGCGATGTATCCTGACGTTTCCGGTATCGGACCTGGATCAACATCTGGCCCTAAGTTCCCTCAAGGAGTATATTTCTGCCCTTACAATTATACTCAAAAGACTTCTAGCCACCCATTATTTGGTTAAAACTTTTGTATAGAGTGTCTCTCACGTGGCTTCTTCTGTTCAGCCGCCTGTGGATTTTAATCTGTTTATCTTAGCTCTTCAGAAACTGCCATTCGAACCTATTGGAGACATTCCTCTTTCTACTCTCACCCACAAGGTTACCCTCCTTATTGTCATCACATGAAGCATGTCTCTGAGCTGGTAGCCTTGTCCTTTGAATAACCATATTTGCTCCTACACAAGGCTAGAGTGTCATTTCTTAGAAAGGTTGTTTCCTCTAAAAACAGCTTTGTAATAGATATATAAAAAAATATTTGTTTAACAAGCCTTCCTTGTCATGTGCTAGAAATGTAGTCATTTGAGCACACTGTACGTGTGTTTGGAACAAAGTTGGGGCATGTGTAGGACCTCAAGGGAGAACATTTTTCTCCTTGTTTTTAAAACATTTTAACATAAAAAAGCTGAACTTCAAACAAATGGCTAAATGAACCCTGAAATACATGTGTATAGGAACTGTTTTTGACTTAACAAAGAATTTGCATTTCTGTCCACCTAGTCCTGAGACTTACACTCTGCCACGCAGTACAGCCGGGGCTGGTGAACTGACTTTTCTTTACTGCAGTTAAGCAACACAGCTAGATCACCTTCCTTGTCCCAGCAAATTAAAGAAACAGCAAAAATTGATTATGCCTTCTCTGCTTCTCCTTCTGACATCATGTTTCTTGTTAGCACATGTGCATGCAGGACACCTGGATTCATTCTAAGTCCTGCTACTCCCACTCTCTCCCTGAGTGCTGCTGTAGAGGGATCTACTGAAGGGCTGAAAATATGTCAACTTCAGTAATTTACACAGGTTGTATTAAATCTCCCTGGAGGTATTCCTGAGTGTAGCTCGGGGTAAAGTTTCAGCACTACAAGCGGTAACCTCGAGCTGCACTCGGGAATACACTGCAGCGTTGCTCCGGGATCCCTTCTGCACCTTCCTTGTCCTTCGCTCCCGCGATGTCCCCCCTGCAGCATCCCCGGCCATCTCCTCCGGCCGATGTCGGCATCTGTCTTCCGGGTTCCATTCCCTGCGACGTCGGGACGTACTGGGGGATGTAACCGGGGGGGAAATTTAAAAATGTCAAAAAGTGACATTCACTAAATACACTAAAATCACATAGTAAAACATTACAGTATCAAACCATTTCACATACATTTTGTCCCTAGTGCTTTGTCCTGTGCCCTGCCTGCATTTTTACTGTTCTTTCTGCCTGGAAACTGAGAAATCTCCATGGCGTCCAAAAAGCGTCCCTTTAGGTCAAAAGTGCTTTTAGACCAGCTAGAGAACAGCGATAGTAAATTAGAACCACTTGCAGAATTGAGTGATAATGATTCGTGGGGAAATTCATCATCAGACACTGAAAACGATTTTGCGACTTTGCTCAGTGATGTGCAAACTTATCGCTATATTTCAAATGTCAGTGTTTTTGGTTTGATTACATTATTGAATTAAATTTCTTATTATATTATTATTTTTTATGATTATTTATTAAATTATAATTTATTATTTCGTGTTTCAAATTTTATCATACCTGGGATGTTTACTAGACTCTTGTTCGGACAGATTTCAGTGAGTTATTCCTAAAAACTACAGGCCTACAATAAAAAAAAAGACATATTTCCATGCAAATAAATGTACCGCTTTGAGCACAGAAATACTGACATAATCAGACCGCTAGGGAGGTTGAAAGCCAATTTTATAATTTTTATATAATACATAGTTACATTGATGTTTTTTTTTATATCTACTTGGAGTTCTGCTTTGAAAGCAAAAAGTGGAAGGATTTCTTAATAGCAGCATATCATCATTCTGAAAACTGAACTAAGGTATACAAGGGGTATGAATATCTCTACTATTGATAAACTGTATCATTCATCCTCAGGTACTGCATCTGTGTTACATACTTAGTTAACATTGGTACTAGATGACATAAAAGTGAACTGGTAAATGAGGAATGCAAACGTATTACTTTGTATGTGGATATAAGATATTCCCAATGAGGGAGCACCATCTATATTAATGTGTCTTCTGCTCCACTGTTGTGAGCTTTGAATGTGTAATCTTATTTCCTTTTGAAAAGAACTTGTTTTTCTTCATTACATGAACAGAATTGATTTTTGTACACCATGTTATGCTTGTAAACCCCAGCCATAATCAAATCTTGCAGCGTGTCTTCATGCAATTAAAACAATTCGGCTGATTTATTTGTAACTGAAAACAAATCAGTAAACAGTTGCAGATGAACATGTTAATTAACTAAGAAAGTTGCATGTTAAAAAAACTCCTGTATGATTGTATTGCAAAATGTGATGGGATGACCTATGCATGGGGCATTAATAAAGAGAAAGCTTGCTAGATGTTCTCAGTTATTAGCTAGTGACAGACCTATAGACCTATGGTGAAGATGTGAAGGCAGCAGGAATCTGAAAATCTTTTCTATAATTTAATTATTTTCTAATTAACATTAAATCAATATATACTTTTAAGAACATCACTTAAAGAAGAAGCCTCCTCAGGAATAAGGCTTACATGATAGACTAGTGATTCATGTTTAACAACTTTATGACTGCCCAACATGTGCTGGGGAAAAAGGTGGGCTTTAATGTGCTGAGACAGCTGGCACTGCTGCTCCAATGTTTATGTGCTGAGACAGCCAATGTTTATGTGCTGAACGTGCTGAGTGTGCTGAGACCATGCTGGCAGCCAATGTTTATGTGCTGAGACTGCTGGGCAGCCAATGTGCTTAGAAGCCAATGTTTATGTGCTGAGACTGCTGGGCAGCCAATGTTTATGTGCTGAAGCCAATGTTCAGCCCAATATTTATGTGCTGAGAACTGCTGGGCACCAATGTTTATGTGTGAGACTGTGGCAGCCAATGTTTATGTGCTGAGACTGCTGGGCAGCCAATGTTTTATGTGCTGAGACTGCTGGGCAGCCAATGTTTATGTGCTGAGACTGCTGGGCAGCCAATGTTTATGTGCTGAGACTGCTGGGCAGCCAATGTTTATGTGCTGAGACTGCTGGCAGCAGCCAATGTTTATGTGCTGAGACTGCTGGGCAGCCAATGTTTATGTGTGCTGAGACTGCTGGGCAGCCAATGTTTATGTGCTGAGACTGCTGGGCAGCCAATGTTTATGTGCTGAGACTGCTGGCAGCCAATGTTTATGTGCTGAGACTGCTGGCAGCCAATGTTTATGTGCTGAGACTGCTGGCAGCCAATGTTTATGTGCTGAGACTGCTGGGCAGCCAATGTTTATGTGCTGAGACTGCTGGGCAGCCAATGTTTATGTGCTGAGACTGCTCGGCAGCCAATGTTTATGTGCTGAGACTGCTGGCAGCCAATGTTTATGTGCTGAGACTTCTTGCTGTTTATGTGCAGCCAAATGTTTATGTGCTGAGACTGCTGGCTGGGCAGCCAATGTTTTTGTGCTGAGACTGCTGGGCAGCCAATGTTTATGTGCTGAGACTGAGAGCTGCTGGACAGCCAATGTTTATGTGCTGAGACTGCTGGCAGCCAATGTTTATGTGCTGAGACTGCTCGGCAGCCAATATTTATGTGCTGAGACTGCTGGCAGCCAATGTTTATGTGCTGAGACTGCTGGGCAGCCAATGTTTATGTGCTGAGACTGCTTTATGTGCTGAGACGGCAGCCAATATTTATGTGCTGAGACTGCTGGCAGCCAATGTTTATGTGCTGAGACTGCTGGCAGCCAATGTTTATGTGCTGAGACTGCTGGGCAGCCAATATTTATGTGCTGAGACTGCTGGCAGCCAATGTTTATGTGCTGAGACTACTGGGCAGCCAATGTTTATGAGCTGAGACTGCTGGGCAGCCAATGTTATGTGCTGAGACTGCTGGGCAGCCAATGTTTATGTGCTGAGACTTCTTGATAACCAATGTTTATGTGCTGAGACTGCTGGGCAGCCAATGTTTATGCAGCCAATGTTTATGTGCTGAGACTGCTGGCAGCCAATATTTATGTGCTGAGACTGCTGGGCAGCCAATGTTTGTGTGCTGAACCACTGGGCAGCCAATGTTTATGTGCTGAGACTGCTGGGCAGCTAATATTTATGTGCTGAGACTTCTGGGCAGCCAATGTTTATGTGCTGAGACTTCTGGGCAGCCAATGTTTATGTGCTGAGACTGCTGGCAGCCAATGTTTATGTGCTGAGGCAAGTGGTGTAGTTAGGTTTTGTGCTGCCCTAGGCAGCACATAATCCAACGTGCCCCTCCCCAGTGAAAGAGAGAAAGACACTCACCTTCACAGCTCTGGACATTCCCTGGGAATGACAATCAGGCTCTGCATACACCATAAAGCAGCCCGCAGCCACTCTCGGATCCCACCTGGTCCACATGCCGCATATGTCCCTTCTTCCAGGGGGCAGTGCTGCCCCCCTAAAAAAATACTGCCATAGGCAAATGCCTTGTTTACCTTGTAACTACGCCCCTGGCTGAGACTGCTTGGCAGCCAATGTTTAGGTGTTGAGACTTCTGGGCAGCCAATGTTTATTGCACGCTCTCAACACAAAGACCAAGCTGTCAATGACAGCCCCCATTCTGTAATTTAAGATCAGTAGCCAGCAGGATCAGTTTCAGATCATGTGACTAATGAGATCTTTTCCCAGGCATTCCATTCTATTTAAAGGGACACCAGGGCAGGTGGGAAGGGGTTAAAACAATAACCTATGCTTGAGAAACAAAACACTGAAGGACTGTGAAGAAAAGCACATTGTAAAATGCATTATTTATTGACTGTAAGCTCCACCCCTGAAGGAAGCCAAATTTATGAGTATTCCTGCTCTGTAGCTCCAGTAGTGCCCAGTCACTACACTCTCTGCTATAGGTGCTATGAGTGCATCAGTCGGGTGCATTGACATCATAATCATTCATCTGATGGTTAGAGAAGCTGTCCACAGGACACGTATTATGGTTCTCTGTATGCTGACATGTCCCCCCCCCCCTAGCTGATAAATCCCCCTCCCCCTGCATGATTGATATATGAATCTGTGCATTCTGCCACCTCCCTCCCCCTTGCTGATATTGACATTCCGCCTCCTTCTGTATAAGTGACACTGCACTATGGATCTGTGAATGCTGAGGGAGACAATGTCAATCACACTTAACTAATCTTTTAAATTAACTAATCTTAATTAATTTTAAAAATTTTGGGAAATGACAACCTTGTGAAAAAAATTATTTCATTTTTTTCATTTTCTGAAAAATTGTGGCAAAAAATACAACTTCAAAAAGTTCACTATGCCTCTTACAAAATACCTGGACAGTCTACTTTCAAAAAACGTCATTTTGAAGGTATTTGTACTTTCCTGGCATTTTAGAGCCTCAAGAATTAGCCAGTCAGAACATAGACCCTATAACAGACTAAATAATATACACTGAATTGGTTATTTTTACCAAAGAAATGTAGCAAAATACATTTTGGCATACATTTATGAAAAAATTATTTTCTTGCAAAATTTTATGACAGAAACAAAGAAAAACATTTGTTTCAACATTTTCAGTTTTTTTCCCTTATATGGCAAATAGTAAAATACCCAGCAATGATTAAATACCACCAAAAAAAGCTTTATCTGTCTAAGAGAAAAATATAAAAAAATTTATTTGGGTACAGTGCTACATGACTAGTAATTGTCATTCAAACGTCTGACATTGCTTTTCTGAAAAATAGTGTGGGGCAGGAAGGGGTTGAACGTGTCTGAAAGTATTTAAAAAGGGTAAGTTGGAGTTATGCTTTAATTTGCTAATCACTTATGTAAAGCCCACCGAAATCTACTAGTCCATCTAACACTACCCGCTCCAGACAATGCTGCAGTCTGTCTGTGACTCCATTGTTCCTCTTCCATAGACAGATGAAACACCCTAAGACAGGAATCGTGTAACTGGCTACATCACCAGGTGAAAATAAAGGAAAAAAGCATAAAGAAAGAAAATGAATGCAGCCACCATATTTAAGGATTGGTAAACTGCAATATATTAAAGGATTAGTTCATCTTTATCAAAATACTGCCTATGCAGGCAAGCAAGGTAATTACTTCACAACTAGATACTGTATAGCAACTCTACAAGAAGTCCTTGATAAAAAATGGGTGGGCAACTACATGGCAAATTAAATTTATTATTGAAAAATGTTAAAATG